CTCTCTTAAAAAAAAAAAAAAAAAAAAAAAAAAAAAAAACAATTATTAGGCAAAACTCATCAAAGGAGTTTCTGGAATTTAAAAAATAACGCCTTTGTGTGTGTGTGTGTGTGTGTGTGTGTGTGTGTGTGTGTGTGTGTGTGTGTGTGTAGGCCAGTTGCTGCGGATCCAGCTCAAGCCACCACGCTTGGCCAAAAGCATCTTTATCTCCCTAGCCAAAGTACTGACCCACTTTTTTTTTTTTTTTAAGCAACCAGATCATTTTCCCAGAGGAAGACGAATGTGGCTCCCCTTACCTCCCCAATATACTCAGGACACACTGGCTTCATCAGCACCATTTTTTTTATTAGTTTGTATTTACACAGTAGAGTATCAACCACAAAGAACAAAGAAGGGTAAACCCGCTTCTCTGATGGAGTTTGGGGGGAGGGGACGTTGTAATCTTCTACCTGACATCTGCAGCAGGGATGCAGGTAAGCACCAAATTGTTCCTGTCACACATCAGCCTGCAGGGCACCGTCGGGAAATGTCACCTGGTCCCAACAACCTCCCAAGGATTCACGGGCAGCATTTAATAGTGGTCCGCGCTGCCTGTCACGGGTACAGTGGCCATGTGAGAAATACCAGGAAACACATGCATGTCTCTGGCTGCAAAATGAGAAGAAAAAAAAAAGTGACATTGTCCTTTATTATGCAGCCATTGTGCCTTGATGTTAAACAGCACGCATCAAACAGACATGCTGGAGGCTGTGTGACATGTACGTAAGATCAGGCTAATGTAATAATTGACACAGACACACAGTGTTCTGGCAATGGGAACACCAGGGCAGCGACTGAAAAGTTAAATATGGAGTCAAGAACTTCTGTTTTTCTTTTTCTTTCTTTCTTTTTTTTGGGGGGGGGGGTGGGGGAGGAGTGGTTCTTTGGTTTTTCAAGATAGGCTTTCTCTGTGTATTCCTGTCTGTCCTAAAACTTTCTCTGTAGACCAGGCTGGCCTCTAACTCACAGAGATCTGACTGCTTCTGCGTGTGTGCGTGCGTGCGTGCGTGCTTGCGTGTGTGTGTGTGTGTGTGTGTGTGTGTGTGTGTGTTCATGCATGTGCATGCATGTGCTTGTATGCGTGTGCTGGGGTGGATGCTCATGCCATCCATGGCTCTCATGTGGAGGCCTTCCACCACATGGGACCTGGAGATCAAACTCAGGAGGTCAGGCTCTGCAGCAGACCTCTTTCCTGGCTTCAGCATCTCAATAGCCTAGAGAGCAAACAAGCTTCTCAACCATGGATTTGTAAGAAGTTCAAAAGTGTTTGTGGAGACAGCAAGGAAAGCTCTATCCCACTGCCGGCAGGTCACTGAACCAAAAAAAAAAGGATCTTGAGGCTGGTCCCAGAGAGAACCAGCTTGGGAAATGGATAGAAACCAGTGTCTCCGTTTGGGACTGAATTGGAAAATTGCCTTGGTGTCTTGATTTGCTGAGGACGTAAGAACAGAGACAGGTGTTTCCCATGGTATGGCTGCCCAGACGGGAATGTAGAGAGCCTTCGGCTGAGGAGGTAAGTAGTAACTTCCAAGAAATCGAAAAGGGGGATGGAAAAACCACAGATAGGTCTGCGCACACGTGGGTGTGATGGTGCACACCGTTAGTCCCAGCATTCGGGAAGTATTTGCAGATGGATCTCCCTGCTAATTCAAGGCCAGCCTGGTCTATATAATGAGTTCCAGGCCTTTCGGGGCTGGACACAGTTTAGTCTCAAAGCAAAATTAAAAAGATGTATCTGGTGCCCTTGGAAGTACAGCCCTGAGGGAAAGATGGAGGAGAGACTCCTACCTATAATGCCAGCACTTGGGAGGTGGAGGCCAGACAATTGAAGGAGTTTGATGCTAACAGAGAGCTACAGTATCCCCTACCCCCCCAAAAAAAAACAAGATATGGAAATCTCCATGTTAAAAGATAGTAGAAAACTCAACACAAATGCCTAGGTAATTCCAACCCTGGGGGCGTGGGGCAGGAGGATCATGAGCTAAATAGAGGCCAGTGTATACAGTTAAGTTTCCGACCAGCATAGGCTGCATAGCAAGACTCTGTCTCAAAATAGTAAACTTTTGTGTGTACACAAATTACATTTTTTAAAAAAGAGGGAGTTAATTTATTTATTTTATGTACATTGGTGGTTTTGCCTGTGTGTATGTATGAGAGTATCAGGTCTTGGAGTTACAGACAGTCATTGAGCTGCCTGGATGCTGGGAATTGAACCCTGGTCCTGTGGATGAGGAGCCAGTGCTTTTAACTTCTGAGCCATCTCTCCAGCCCCTATAAATTACATTTTTGAAAGGCACTTCTCCTGAAGCTGTCGTAGAGCCCTGAAGTAGTAGATGTTTGTAGGTGTCCCAAAAAGAGACATTATCTCCACCAATCCACAGCTGGATTTCACCGTTTGTTTTTCTGAGGGGGTCCCTGCAGATGTCATACAGGGAAAGGAACCGCTCGTAGAAATAGGAATGAAAAAGCTGGTGCAGATTGATTTCAGTCTGGATCAGATTTTGGGGAGTCTAAAAACAGGCAGTTTGTTTCCAATGTATTTATTTAAGCCCAGTATAATTTGGGGGAAAAAAGTTCTCTGGTGTAATACAATCCCTGTTGCACAAGGAAGTGTAATTGCATGCCATTTCTTCCAAGAAGATGGGTTCTGGAGATAAGCTACCTGTGCTAGCTGAAGGGCCTAAGGGTCTGGCCTGGTCTTATCATACAGACAGCAAAGGGGTCATTTGGGCTTTTAGTCGCCTCTGGCCATGGTTGTGGGAGCCTGGGGGAGCCTTTGGCTATCAGGGTCATTTAGATCACTAGCCACTTCTGGTCTTGGTTGTAGGAGCTTGGCCCAACAGGTAACACAGATCGATCGCCAGGCTGTCAATCACTTCCAATACTCAGCTTTCTGGAGGGAAGAACAAGTTTTTCCCCTTTCCCCTCGGAAAGACAACCCTGCTTGCTTAACATTCCAGGCGTCTCTGGAGATGTGTGAGCATAAGGACATTCCTGCTGTGCTCCTGACATTTTCCTTCATCTCTACCCTCAGTTCCTAGACTTCAGGACTCATTCTTTATTGAGACAGAATCCTCTGGAGCTCAGACTGCCCTCAAACTTGCTACACAGCCAACGCTGGCCTCAAACTTTTTTTTTCTTTAAATTTGAAAAGGTTGTTTTACATGTCAATCCCAATTCCCTCACCCTCCCATCTTCCCATATCACCCCCACCAAACCCTTTCTGCTCCCCAGGGAGGGTGAGGCCTTCCATGGGGAGTCTTCAAAGTCTGTCATATCATTTGGGACAAGACCTAGGCCCTCTTACATGTGTCTAGGCTGAGAGAGTATCCCTCTATGTGGGATGGGCTCCCGAAGTCCATTTGTATACTAGGGATAAATACTAGAGGCCCATAAACTGCCCTGTCCTCCTAACTAACACCACATTCAGGGAGTCTGGGTCGGTCCTATGCTGGTTTCCCAGCTCTCAGACTGAGTCCATGAACTCGCCCTTGTACAGGTCAGCTGATTCCGTGGGTTTCTCCAGCCTGGTCTTGACCCCTTTGCTCATCGCTCCTCCCTCTCTGTAACCTGGCCTCGAACTCTTGATCCTCCTGCTTTTAGCTCCCAAGTGCTGAGGTCCCATAAGCCATCATGGTTGGCTTGGTGACTTTCTCTCCCTCAGTGGGCTATTTTTTCTAGGAAAGAATGTCTCCCCTCTAAGACATGATTCCTGGGACTTAATTTGGGGAGACCTACATGCTTATCTCAGGAGCCAGTCGGGGTTGTAGAGTCTCACCCCTGACCCTCCCTTCAGTAAGGGAGAGTTGCCATGTATTGGACAGCCACAGCTCTTTAGGGACACATAAAAAACAGAACAGCAAACTCCTCAGTGGGGCCTGATGTGCCAGTCGTGGCTTATGAGCTGTCCTCAACATCAAGCCCCGGCAATGGCGGAAGAATAGTGATCTTTGTTCCCAGCAAAGATCTTCACCGGTTTGGGCAAGTCTAGTAAAAAACATTTCAAAAGCTTGCCATCATGGATCTTCTCTTCAGGCAACGGCTAGCAGGCACCTCTGTGGTCTCAATGGCAGCAGTTACAGGTACTGTTGTGTACTTGGCTCCCTATAAGGGGCTGGCCCTGCTGGCTTCCAAGTCGCTACACGCCTCTGGGACCCTTGTCAATCAGAAGTTGCTCTCCTTCACTCAGGCAATACCCTACCCACCCCCCCACACACACACACACTGTTCCTTTGACAGTCTCAAATGTTGCCCACGATTCCTCAAATACAGAATTAGAGCCATGAGGGTAAGGTTAAAAACCATCGCGTGTCCTGTACCTGGCACATTGTAGGTGCTCAGGAGAATTGTATTGGTTGGATGGATAAAGTGTCCCATACTCAGCCATGTATATGATCCCTCAATTTTATCTAAATTTACTTCGATGAAAACTTTGCTCACTTAGATGTATCCAAGTAACACGGTTACTACTCACGAGTGTCACAGACTGTTGGGGTTTTTTCACCCCTCTTTATTCCAAGTGTTATTCTAGGATTCAGCCAGTAATAAACAGACATATGTAGAGTGAACAGGAAAATAAAAATAAAAATAAAAAGAGATGACCCATACCCAACCGGATGTTAGCCATGCCACTCAGCTGTGGTCCGAAAGTTAACTCAGTACCAGGCTCACGCTGCAGCTATTGCTCATTAACAGTTTGCCTAGACTCTCCTAGTGAAGCGGCTGGGTGCATGGTTTCAAAACCCTAATACAATGCAATAGGTAGCATTCAAGTACCATACCCAACTCTCGTGTGATACTCATTCTGGTTCAAAGGTCACCCACTCACTAGTCCAGCGCTTACTCTCAAGTGCCAAAATGCAAGGTGCCCTTCCCACAGCCATCCCATACCCGCTCGGATGTCTCCCACCCTCCCTCCGCACACCCCGCCCCCCCTGCACACACACTAGTCCAACATCGCCTTACAGCTTATCAGAAGCCCGCTGTCGGCGCCGACTTCTCTTGTTTTTCTTTTTGCCCTTCTTGCCCTCGTCAGCCTTGCTCTCCTTCTTTGGGTCCTCTAGAGGGGGTGTCCCACCCCCCATGGCGGTGAACCCCTTGTCTGCATTCTCCTCCTGAGGAGACAGGCAGCACTTCCTGGAAAGTAGCTCTCCAGGACCTACTGTGGTGGGACAGAGCTCTCGCCTGAGGGTGCCGGCCAAGTCCTCTACCGTCCTGCCCTCTCTGCGCAGGAACAAATTGAGCTTGGTGAGGAATTCGATGTCCTGCCATTTGGGCATGTAGACCACTCTCCACATACCGCCCTTGCCCTTGATCTCCCTGGGAACCACGTCGTAATTAAGGTCCTCTGCCAACCTAATGATAGCTGCCTTGGATCTGTCTTCCTCTAGATAGGCCTTCCCAGCAACTTCGAACTTGCCCAGTGGTTTGAGGGGGGTGCGTATGATGTCTTCAAATTCCTGGTGGCTACAGGCCTCTGGGATCCCCAGGATCATCAAGGACTTGTAGCTGTCCACCTCCAAGGCCTTGCATCCATGTTCTAGCAATGCAATGTCCTGGACTCCAAATGCCATCTTGCCCAGCTCCTTGAGGCAGCTGTACGAGCGCTGTTGCGCGGTGGAGCTGTCTCGAGAACCCACGGAAGGATCCAGGGTGCGGAGAGCTGTTTCTGAGGAAGATGACAAAACAAAACAAAACTACGAGGCCTCGCAGGTGAGGAGGCTACTAATAGGCCCAGTTGCTCCAACTCAGTCAAAGGGCACTCAGCCTTCTGCAGCCTGCTCCCTCTGGGCTCACTCTTGGAAGTTCCTAGCAACTCACATCAGCCGTCAGCCACGGAATTGGAGCTCGGTGGTGGAAGCTCCCAGGTCCAGGGTAAGGCCCTTCCAAGGGGAGTTTGATGATGCAGAACGGTGGCCTTGATGATCTCTGTGGACCCGAGCCGCTGGTCTCCCTGCTGCTGTTGCCACCCTGAGTGTCGTGGGTGGCGACTTGGCAGGTCTCATTGCTGGCCCAGAGGTCGCCCTCACGTGCCCTGTGACAGAGTTAAAGACCAGGATGTGATGGTGGTGGCTGCACTTGCTCCGCAGCAGTGACGTCATTGCTTCTTTTGAGCTGCTGCTCTGCGGTCTCCATGGCAACCGATAGAGCATCGTCTTTGCCATTGGCGGGTACTGCGGCACTGAAATCAGAAACCAAGGCAAAGAGGGAAGAGAAGGGTCAGCTCCTCACTTCCATCCTCAGGCAGGGCGTGGGCAGGGAGGCAAGGAAGATACAAAGTAAGCCTGAAACGTGGTTTGGGTTCAGAAAGTTAGGGTATAGTTAAAGAATAATGACAAAACCGGTAAGGACACGGAAGCCAGCTTGAATTCTATCCACCGGCCAATTCAGAGAGTTTGAGCATCCCTTCGAGGATTCTTTCTTCTTCTTTCATCCTCTCTGTCTCTGTCTCTCCGTCTCTCTCTGTCTCCCCCCCTTCTCCCTCTCCCCTGCCCCCAGACATGACCTGATGTCTCCCAGGTTGGTCTTGAATTTGCTATATAACCAAAATTTTGGACTTCTGATCCTCTTGCCTCCCTCCACTTCTCAAGTTCCAGGGCTAGCTAGCTATTACATGTCTGCACTGAGCCTGGTTTATTCAGTGATGGGTATAGGACCCAGGACCCCTAGCTGCCAGGCAAGCTTTCTACCAACTGAGTTACAATCCAGCCAGAGCATTAATGTTAAAAGCAAGAGATTGTAACAGAATGATACTCCCCAAATACAGTAAGAACAGTTGGGTTCATGTAAATAGAAAGTTATTTTTTAAAGTCTTTCCTTTTTTAATTAGTGTGTGTGTGTGTGTGTGTGTGTGTGTGTTTATGGTTGTGTGTTCTGCCTGTGTATACGTCTGTGTACCACATGTGTGCCTGGTGCTATGGAGGTCAGAAGAGGAACTGGAAATACAGTTGTGACCCAACCCTCATGAAAGCTTCCAACTGAACTCAGGCCCTCTGGAAAAACAGGAAGTGGATATGGAGAGGTGGCTCAGTAGTTAAGATCACTGGCTGCTCTTGCAGAGGTCCTAAGTTTGGTCCCCAACATCCACATGGTGGCTTACAACTACTTGTAGCCAAGGGTGGGGGCATACACCTTTATTTCTAGCACTCAGGAGGAAGAGAAAGGTTGATCTCTGTGAGGTCAAAGCCAGTTTGTTATACATAGCCTGATCTACATGGTGAGTTCCAGTCCAGCCAAGGCTACATTGGCACTAAATAAACAAATACGTAAGCCAGGCAGTGGTGGTGCATGCCTTTAATCACAGCACTGGGGAGGCAGAGGCATGTGGATCTCTGTGAGTTCGAGGCCAGCCTGGTCTACAGAATGAGTACCAAGACAACCAAGGCTACACAGAGAAACCATGTCTTAAAAACCAAAAAATAATAAATAAATAAATAAATAAATAAATAACCTAATTACTTGTAATAATAATGCACTCCCTGGTCCCTTTAGGCACCCATACAGGTTCTCTGTCTCTCTCTCTCTCTTTTTAAAAAGATCTTTAAATATTTTAAACATAATTGTACATAAATCGATTGTTTATGCAACATGGGAAGCAGTGTGAATCTAACCCTGTGGGCACACTTCCTTTCTCAAATTCCCAAGACACTGGGCTGGGACAGGGCTCAGTTGAGCATTTGCTTAGTACCTTCCAGGCTCTGGCTTCCATCACATCACTGCAAAAGTCACATGGAAAGAGGGTAGGAAGGGGCTGGAGAGATGGCTTAGCAGCTAAGAACACTTGTTCTAGCAGAGGACCTGGGTTCAGTTCCCAGCACCCACATGGCACCTCACAACCATCTGTAACTCACATAAAACTATGTGTCTTTAAAATTAAGTAAAAATAAAAGCACACATACTCTTAAAAGAAGAGAGTTGGGGAGAGAGAAATCACCTTCAACGCTTCTATATAAGCTTTGTGTGGTGTGTGTGTGTGTGTGTGTGTGTGTGTGTGTGTGCTTGCACACGTGTGCACAGTTGCATGCAGGTCCTCTAGGAGGCCAGAAGAGGGCGTCAGGTTCCCTGAAGTTGCAGTTGCAGTTCAGGTGGTTGTGAGTTGTATGACCCGGATAATGGGAACTGAACTTGGGTCCTCAACAGGAGCAGGATTCATTCTTAACCCATAAGCCATCTCTCCAGCCCACTCCACGTCATGTCTATGCACAGCCTTGTGCGTTGTAACCCGGAGATGCGTTCTCCCTCAAAAGTGCAGTAAGAATGTTGACCCTTAATATTTGCTACTGGGTTTATGAGTCCTTGGCACTCTGCCGCATGTCCCTGGTTTTATTAGGCACATTCCAAACTGAGAAGCCGGCAACAGAAAGGCTCGTTTATTTGACAGACTAGTGTTTACTGAGAAACTACCTTTCACCCTGCTGTGGGATGTGCCAAGCATAGCTGAGTGTTCAGACTGGACAAACTATGCATTTAGAGCCCAGTCTCGCGGTTATGGCGGGCTTGCTGTGTCTGTTTACAGTTGGGGGGAGGAGGGCCACAGCGTGTTTGCCAGAAAGAGTCAAGGCCCTGGTATGGAGTGAATAGAATATACTGGTTGGGCTCAGTGAGCCTGGAACACATTTCGCTACCATTTAGGTGTTGGTGCTGGCTTCATTGCAGTTACTCTGGAGAAGTAAGAGCTTAGGACATTATTCTTATTCTTTCTAGTAGTTGATGAGTCCACTGTCTTTCCAAGCATACAATCTCCTCAGCTCTAGGCATCACAGACACGTCTCCTCCTTGCCAATGCTTACTACGCTCTTCTTTCTCAGGTCTAACTATGAGCCATGCTTCGTGAATCTTTACCGTTTGGTCCAAGGTTGGGATCTCTGACCATCCTGGAAACACACAGCCTACTGTATCCACACCATGATTATAGCCAAAGGTGCTGTGCTGGTCCGGTCTGTAAGGATTCAGGCATTATGCTGGCCTGCCCCTGTCACCTGGCAGAATGCACTCAGGCAGTGCCCTGGTCAGCCCAGGGTTCCAAGAGTGCTAGTCTGCAGGCAGGTGCAAAGGACCCTTTAAAAGTCAGACCCCGCCCACTTACACTTTCTTTACTCCTTGCTCTTTGCAGCTCCTTGTTCTCTTCTCTTCTGCTCCCAGTGTCTCTTCCCTTCTCCCTCCCTCCCCTTTGTAAATAAACTTCTCTCTTAAGCTCTGTCTGTCTGTTTGTCCCTCCGCCTTGGTCACCCTCAGCTGCTATGGAACCCCCTATGCCCTCCCGCGTGGTCCCTTAGCTTGGGACACCCCCCCCTTCTCCAGCTTTATCCTATAACTGTAACTAAAGAACAACAGTCTATGTTGCTGTGACAAAATACCTGCGGCGGGATGCTTACAGAGGAAAGAGGTTTTGCTGCTGTCATTTGACTGAGGCTGGAGAGACAGCTCTAGCGGTTAAGAGCACTGGCTGCTCTTCCAGAGGACCTGAGTTCATTTCCCAGAACCCACATGGTAGCTCACAGCTGTGTGTGATGAGATCTGGTGCCCTCTTCCGGCCTGAAGGGATAAATACATGGAGGCAGAACACTGTACATTATAAAAGAGGAAACAGAGGGAGATGGCTTGGGCTTGGGTTTAGGCTGAGATCACACAGTTGGCAAGGTCAGGACCATGAGACAGCAGAGCTGTAGACCCTCCACCTGCATGGCTTCCCCTTCCACTTCTCTGATCCTGGAGGAGCAACGCTTACAGATCAGCTCTTGAGGGTTGGGGCTGGCAGAGGTGCGTGTCGGTATGGCGAGAGAAGAGGCTCTGGGAGGTCTGAGGCTCTTGGAGGTGACTCCCAGATTCTGTCCGGGTTCTGGGCGCAGGACAGAGAATGGTTGTTGTGAGGGAGGGAAACACAGAGGCCGACAGGCCTCGCTGGCCCTTCCCCAGCCTCAGCTGCAGCAAGCACAGAGTTATGCAGGCCCCCTCAAAGCCCAAGGGGCCCGCCAGTCCGCTGCTGGGTGGCCCACGTGACCTTCCCAGCAGGCACCTGGTAAACCGGGCCCTCAAATGCAGCCTCTCCTGGGTGGAGAGAGAGCAGGTGGTTTCGGACTGGGGCCCAAATGACACTAGCTACTCACAGCAACTTCGGAGGCCTGGGGTGGGGGCACTGAGTGGGGTGGGGTTAAGCCCTTTTGGGCCTCGGATGCTGCTGGGGAGTTTTCAGCGGGTAAAGGGATGTTTTCCGGGTAAAGGGGTGTCTGCAGACTGGTTGAAGCTCGGGTATGGCAAGGGGAGTTGATTCTAGACTTTTTATCCCCGACAGTGTTATCACAAATATCCCTGGGAAGGCTTAAGGCAAGAGGGTTGTGTAAGGGGACCGGAAGTCGAAGGCCAGCCTGGGGTATTAGTGAGAGGGAGAGGGGAGTGGAGGACAGAGGAGGCGCTGCAGTGTGGGGGGATTGCCTAGCAGGCAGGGAGCCCGGGGTTCCATCTCCTCCTTGGGTTAACTGTGTGTGGAGGTGCACACCTGTAATCCCAGCTGCAGGAAGTGGAGGCAGGAGCATCGAGAGTTCAAGGCCTGACCCACAGCTAAGCACTGAGCCAA